TGCTGCGGCGAAGGACCCCATCCTGCGAGTTCCCGGCTTACAGAGAGGCCCTGGAGCTGGTGGAGAGCCAGCCCGGGGAGCCGGCCTCCAAAGCGGAGCGTCGGGGCCAGCCCCCCTGCCGCGGGGAGCACCTGACCATCCCCAACTTCTCGTTCGAGCAGTCGGACGGCAGCTCCTTGAGCAGCCTCTCGGATCTCCTCCTGGACAGCGGGCAGTCCACGCCGGCCTCCGTGGACTCCCGGCCGGACCCTGCCGCCTCCGAACTGAAAAAGCCGGATCACCTAAAAACTCAGTGGAGCAACCCCGAGAAAAGCAAAGAGCTCCTGGGCATTGCTAAGGGCCCCCTCCGGAAGCAGGACTTGGTCCCGGTGACTGTTGCAACAGAAGAAGACATCGATGACCCAGTATAGCTTTCTGGGAGGGGGGAGCGGGGGGTCTCAAGGGCTTGACACCAATGTGGGTTTCCAAACCGAAGGGACTGAGCGGCCGCAGGTACGTGAGTGGCTGCGCTCGCGGGTTTTTTCCTTTCTCGCAGTCACTTGTTCTTAAGCGCTGTGGAGGTTTGCAAAAAAAAACAACACACACACAAAAAAGAAAAAAAAAATTAAAAAGAAAAAGAAACCAAACAAACGGCTGGATGAAACGGTGACGGGTTTTGGGGTGGGGGGAGTGGATTTACAAAGCGGTTTGGGGGTTTCTTTTCTAAAGGGAAGGTGGAGTTGATTCAGAGGGTCGCTTCGTTCCTCCCACCCCGCCTCCGTGGCCTCAATCACATTGATTCGGGTTCGAGGTGGTGGCGGTTGGGATTTGGGGGATTCTCTTTGGGTTTTGTTGTTTTGTTGGTTTTGTTTTTTTAAAGATGCTCAACTTTTAACAAGGCACCTTTTAGAAATGTCACATTACGCGGGAGTGCCCGGGAGATGGGAGCTGTACATTGTCTGTATATCAGCAGTTATATAAATAGAAATAATGTATTTGTGAGATACAAAACAAGGAAAAAAAGACAAAAAAAAAATATACCCACAAAAACTCTCTCTTCATAATGCACATATTTTTATAGAGAAATGATACTGTTTTTTGCATTACATGTGACTCTGCAACCGGGTGGTGTTTCCTTGGGTTTTATGTGGAACTAATTATTACGGCCATTCATTTTCCAAATGTTTCTCTTCTTTCTTCACTTTCATTTTTTTCCTCTCCTTCCCTCCACCATCATCCCACCAGCTTCTCTTCACAGCTGATGCTTTAGACGTTTCTCTCTTTTTTTTTTCCTTTGTACTTTAGAGGTTGTCCTAACTACGGAAAAAAAAACCAAATCACTACTGAATTGTAGCCAGTGCAATAATAAGTTATTCATTCTTCTTGTTTGTACAACTGTGCTGTTGCCTTTTTTTTTCCTTTTTTAAGTGAAATTCAGGTTAAATGTCGCAATAATCTGAACTAACGTGCGCAAACACGGTTTCTTGTGTTACAAAGAAGAAAAAAGATAAAAAAAGGAAAAAGTTAAATTTACAGAGAGGTAAAAAAGCAAAACAAATAAATAGTAAATTATTTAAGAAATGTATTTTGTTTACTGCAGTTCAAAGTAAATTATTGATACAGTATATAAAGGTATACAGAGCTGTCTTAGGTGATGTTCTTCGCGAGCATTTAAGCTAACGCTGTGTCCTCCTCGTAGCAGAACGCCTTCGGAACCTCGGTGGTAGCCGTAACCGTCCCATTTGCACTCCTTCTGTCGGTCTCCCCTCCGCACCCCCTGCGCCCGCCCGTGGACGCGTTCGGCCTCCCATCGCCG